TAGCGCTTTGTAAAGTATTAAACCTGATGTTCTGTGTGTCTGGAGGCTGAATGAATGAATGAATGAATAAAGTTAATGCTTTGTAAAGTATTAAACCTGGTGGTCTGTGTGTCTGGAGGCTGAATGAATTAATGAATAAAGTTAATGCTTTGTACAGTATTAAACCTGGTGTTCTGTGTGTCTGGAGGCTGAATGAATGAATGAATGAATGAATAAAGTTAATGCTTTGTAAAGTATTAAACCTGGTGTTCTGTGTGTCTGGAGGCTGAATGAATGAATGAATAAAGTTAATGCTTTGTACAGTATTAAACCTGGTGGTCTGTGTGTCTGGAGGCTGAATGAATGAATAAAGTTAATGCTTTGTAAAGTATTAAACCTGGTGGTCTGTGTGTCTGGAGGCCGAATGAATGAATGAATGAATGAATAAAGTTAATGCTTTGTACAGTATTAAACCTGGTGGTCTGTGTGTCTGGAGGCTGAATGAATGAATGAATGAATAAAGTTAATGCTTTGTAAAGTATTAAACCTGGTGGTCTGTGTGTCTGAATGAATGAATGAATGAATGAATAAAGTTAGTGCTTTGTAAACTATTAAACCTGGTGTTCTGTGTGTCTGGAGGCTGAATGAATGAATGAATGAAGTTAGTGCTTTTTAAAGTATTAAACCTGGTGTTCTGTGTGTCTGGAGGCTAAATGAATGAATGAATGAATAAAGTTAGCGCTTTGTAAAGTATTAGTGTGTCTGGAGGTTGAATGAATGAATGAATAAAGTTAGCGCTTTGTACAGTATTAAACCTAATGTACTGTGTGTCTGGAGGCTGAATGAATGAATGAATGAATGAATAAAGTTAGCGCTTTGTAAAGTATTAAACCTGGTGCTCTGTGTGTCTGGAGGCTGAATGAATGAATAAAGTTAATGCTTTGTAAACTATTAAACCTGGTGGTCTGTGTGTCTGGAGGCTGAATGAATGAATGAATGAATAAAGTTAGCGCTTTGTAAAGTATTTGTGTGTCTGGAGGTTGAATGAATGAATGAATGAAGTTAGTGCTTTGTACAGTATTAAACCTGGTGTTCTGTGTGTCTGGAGGCTGAATGAATGAATGAATGAATAAAGTTAGCGCTTTGTAAAGTATTAGTGTGTCTGGAGGTTGAATGAATGAATGAATGAAGTTAGTGCTTTGTACAGTATTAAACCTGGTGTTCTGTGTGTCTGGAGGCTGAATGAATGAATGAATGAAGTTAGTGCTTTGTACAGTATTAAACCTGGTGTTCTGTGTGTCTGGAGACTAAATGAATGAATGAATGAATATAGTTAGCGCTTTGTAAAGTATTAGTGTGTCTGGAGGTTGAATGAATGAATGAATGAAGTTAGTGCTTTGTACAGTATTAAACCTGGTGTTCTGTGTGTCTGGAGGCTGAATGAATGAATGAATGAATAAAGTTAATGCTTTGTAAAGTATTAGTGTGTCTGGAGGTTGAATGAATGAATGAATGAAGTTAGTGCTTTGTACAGTATTAAACCTGGTGTTCTTTGTGTCTGGAGGCTGAATGAATGAATGAATGAAGTTAGTGCTTTGTACAGTATTAAACCTGGTGTTCTGTGTGTCTGGAGACTAAATGAATGAATGAATGAATATAGTTAGTGCTTTGTAAAGTATTAGTGTGTCTGGAGGTTGAATGAATGAATGAATGAATGAAGTTAGTGCTTTGTACAGTATTAAACCTGGTGGTCTGTGTGTCTGGAGGCTAAATGAATGAATGAATGAATAAAATTAGCGCTTTGTAAAGTATTAGTGTGTCTGGAGGTTGAATGAATGAATGAATGAAGTTAGTGCTTTGTACAGTATTAAACCTGGTGTTCTGTGTGTCTGGAGGCTAAATGAATGAATGAATGAATAAAGTTAGCGCTTTGTAAAGTATTAGTGTGTCTGGAGGTTGAATGAATGAGTCTTCCCAGCAGCGAGGGGCCGCCACCAGAGGCGCTGCTGTCTCCGTCCTTACCCATAAGCGGGGGAGTGAGAGGTGCATGAAATGGAGAAAAATGGCGGATCATGTGCAGGTGAGCAGAGGTTTCATGTTTTTGTGACCGACAATTTATCTCCGAGCGTGTAAATGAGTGTGAACGCGGATACGTGTGCAGAGTCCGCAGCCCAGAGCCCGTGTGCGGCCGCTGCGTGCATCCGGCGGCCTTGTTCGTGCTGTCGGGCGGGTAAAAGAAAGGATGTGGCCGCCTGTGTTGACTTGTGGCCTGCTGTCATTGCTCGGGCTGGCTGGTTGCTGAGTTAGCTTGTGTTAGCTGAGAGGCTGATTCCAGGCTCGGAAACGACACCTCCGGCCGTGCGAGCCTCCCGGTTATAACCCGAATAATCCCCGGTGTTCGTGTCCGGTTAACGCGCAGCACCGCCGGGATGACGGTGCGTTTTATTGGCGTGTTTTAGTGAAAGTAAACAATAACAGCTAACGTGCGGCCGCGGACGGCTAGCTGTCAGGCTAACACGAAATGGTTAACTGTGAGTTTGGCGCCAGTGAGAGTCACAGTGTGGACCCGGCTGATGTTAGGAGCTTCAGACATTGATTTATTATTAACTGATTTGCGCCTTCAAAAGTTAAAATATTAATTTAAGGTCTTGTTATGCTAAAGGTAACTCACCCTGTAGCTAACTATGCTAACGTTAGCTTCAGCCCAGACGTCAACTTCTCCCGCCCGAGCCCGTTTTGAAAACATGATTCGGTTTGTGAAGCCGGCTCCGTGCCCCGGGCTGCTGTCTCCATGTTTGAGACAGGAAAACACTGAATTAAGAGCATCGATGGGATTCACACCTGTGTTGTTTATGTGATGTTTTTGTTTAGCTAGCATGTCTGAAGCTAGCTGCTTCGTGGACCGGGCTGGACACATGTTTGAGGAGAAAAGCTGCCAGATACAGAAGTGGCTGCAAGAAATTGGGAGTTTAGCTGCAAGGTTTTGTTTTCATACTAGTTACATGTCCCCCAGTTTCCCTGCTGGTCCTCAATAACCCCCTAAGAAAGAAAGACCTTGCTGTTTTTGTTTTAGTGCTAACTTCATGCACCGTGTTATTGTTGTAACGTTACTGCTAGCTTCTGGTGTTTCTGTAGCTTTGGGTGAGGTACCCAGCCAGCAATGGGATTTTATAAGACGAGTACGGAACTTAGCTGTCACAACATCCCCAAAATCAAGAAGTGTAGATGCAGAATTTGATTTGTAAGATGCTTGATCGGTTAGCAGCTTTAGCATGCATGCTAGCAACATGGGAGCATCCGCACTGACCTGTGCAGCGTGGAGGAGCTGCAGCACTGACATTGACTCTCAGTTTACTTGGATCCGACCCAAACAAGCTTTATCATATCTGTTTGTCACACAAGCTCTAAAGAAAGCATTGTTATCTGATCATAAAAGATGTCTTTGAACTCGTTTTAAAATGTTCACCCTCGGTCTTTAATGAGCTTTTTACAGTTTTGTTTATGAAGCTAAAAGTTACATCACAGCATCACACAATGAAGGGTGCCACTCACTGACTATTCTGCCTTTTTATATTTACTTTGTGATACATTTTTGCTCTAATTGCAATAGAAGAGTTTTTTTTTTAATTATTGATCCACCACTTCAGTCAATTTTTCTATGAAATTGCCAAATTTTGCCTCATTTCTTTGGGTTTTCGACTGTTCGTAAGACAAAACAAGACTTTTAAAGACTTGAGCTCTGGGAAGTTATATTGGGAATTTTTCAATATTTACTGACAA